TTTTCCTCTGGGGAGAAGAGAGAAATAAAACTAAAAAGCAAACAAACAAACAAAAAACAAAATTGATCCAAAATGATCAAAGCATTATTTTAATCACATAACTCAACAAATGTGTAAGGACTATTTACAGTCCTGGGAGTAGAGTCCTGTAGAAAGGAGACATATTTCTCTGATATTTGTCTCTGTCAAGGGTTTGCTGTTACAAAACAGAAGTATACAAATACAATAACCAAGAGCCCTGATAAAGCGATGAGGGACAAAAATAAGGGGTCTAGCCTGAGTATATAAAATATAAAATGAAGGGTAGAATTCCCCAGATGGTCTCTGTAGTGAAAGGTTTGGTTTCTTCAAAAACCCAGTCATGTTATGTTTTTTGTTTTAATCCCAGGTGTGGGATATGGGTCTTCTTCAGTTTGTCCACAGCCATTAACTATTATTGTCTCCTGCACTAGCAGGGGCATGATCTTTGCCAGCTGCAGATAGTTCAGTTCTGGGGACTCTGGTGAGGAAATACCAGAGTCCAGTCAGGGACTAGGGGTGCTCTGAAGAAGGAGGAGGAGGAGGAGAAGGAGGAAAGAGGAGGAAGAAGGAGGAGGGGAAGAAGGAAGAGAAGGGGAAAGAGGAAGGAGGAGGGAGGAGGAGGAGAAGGCAGTTGCTGTTGGTGCTTCCCTGCTGCTCCTGGTTGCTGTTGTTGCTGATGAGAAGAAGTTGAAAGTATCCTCTCAACAAAGACTGGACTTGCCCCAAGGAACCCCATGATGCTAAACCGCAGGAAGTAGCCTAAAGAGACCTATGTTCCCTTTCCCCGCTAACCTTCTGTCTCTCCTACCTGGTATTGGGGTATTGGAAGGAATTGTGGTTGAGAAGAGAGGTAGATGTACAATAACTCAATAAAATATAGTTTTACAACATGCCAACAGATATCTAAGAGTAGATTCAAAGAAAAAGAAAGGGTACTAACTTGGGAATGTTGAAGGAGCCCCTCAGGTAGGGGAAGAACCTGAGATGGGAAAAAGCAGGGCTCCTTCAGGGACAGAAAGATAATCAGGAGAGAATAAAGGTGCAGAAGAAGGAGAAAAGGTGAGGAAATGCATAGATAACAACAAAAAGTGTAGCTCTCCTTCCAAATGTGTAAGATAACCAGTGAAGCCTTTCTTATAAAAAAGAGATATAATCAACTACCCCCCACATACCCTCTTTGTTCTCTCCATGGAACCGCTTGAAGCAAGGCAAACTAGCTTGTAGCAAGTGACTGAACAAGAGCAGGCGGTAGGACCCAAAGTACAAAACACAATCATCTTGTAACTCTGTCACCATCCACCTGGATAAACTTACCTTCTTCAGTCTTTAATAGCCACACTGGACAATTGTCATCTCTTCCTTTATCCATGCAGATTTCCATCTTGTTTAATATTACAACCCCTGATAAGACGTCTTTCTACATATTTCCCCACCTCAGTCTGGTGTAGGTTTGGATCCTCCAGTTCCAGGTCCTTATGGGTAATTCACTATCACACTGATCTGTGTGGTAGCATGGGAGTTATTAGTTTTCTTGCATAACGTGATTGAGTTGAATGGAATGGTCTGGGAAGAAGTACAAATGCAGTGTGCGAAACGGTCAAAGAGATTTGACGGACAGCATAGGCTGTGAGATGATTCTTTTTGAGAGGTCTTTTCAGAGATTGTGCTACAGCTAGTAGAGCATTTGGGGATAAGAATGAGTCCTTTTGAGTCTGTGAGAGCAGTAATTTTGGAGGAAGACACTGATAGGGTGAAGAAATCCTTAAGGGTAATGGAGCTATGTCATAGGACCAGTAAAAGATTGCACTTTTATGTCGCTGATGTTGAAGGCAGTGAGAAAGGGAAAAGATTATGGATAAACAGATATATTTGCAGTGAAGTAAATTAGGCATTTAGAAGACATATCCAGAATTTTTTCCTTTTCTATCATCAGGATTTTGTTTTCCTGGCTGGCCTCCTTCTATACAGCTAAGTAACAAATATTGCCTTGGGGAAGAAGTGGAGAACGGTGCCTCAGCTAAAACACAAATAAAATAAGAGAAAAAAGTATCAAAATAGGAGTTCTTGTAAGGCAGGCTTAAGAAGTATGAAGGAGAGAGGGTTGAAAAAAGAGGAAATTCAAAGGAAAAAAAAATCAGCCGCACAAATCCCCTTGAGGTCTAACCTGAATAAACAGACTGTATATAGCTATCACTGATTCTCCTGAGGGCTAGCCTTTGGTATCTGAACTCCCAAATTAGGCTGGCATTTGACATCACTCCCAGCAAGGAGTGACATCAGAGAAACAAAAGCTGAGATGCATGAGAACCATCTCACAGCTCCTGTCCTCGGACATCACAGGTATGAGATGCCTCTAGACCCCTCCAGTATCTAGTGCTGAGAGGGGCAGAGGCTCAGACTAAGCTTGAGGTTGGAGTGAGGACTCTGTGATGTGACAAGAGACCAGGGCACCATTTTTTGGGGACAGTGTGGAACAGTCAAGAGGTAGATGGCCAGAACAAATCGTATGCTACACGGCTTGAAGGGTTAAAGGTTATCACATGAACCAGGCAGCTGTCCATGGGCTTCCCCTGTGTCTGAATGCCACACAAAAAGAGAAACATCATTGAAAAGAAATCACCTGGGATGGCTGAACACTTGTTCCAAAGAGAATATTGTCCAACATATTATTTTAAATACAAAGAAACTGATCTAAAGGCATTTACAGTTTTCCTATGGAAGTGGGCACACCATAGAAAGAGAACCGATTAGTAATTTAAATATATATAATTTTCCAAACATTGGCCAGTACAAGTTTATTGTAATGAACACGAGTGAGCTCATATCAAATGTCTTCCAGTTGTTCACAAACAATGGGGAATGAGTTCCAGGTGGCAGAAGGCTTAAGGAAGAGGTGTGAGCATTGGAGAAGCATGGTGAAGGTACACAGTTTTTATTTTGGGGGTTAAAATACACATTAGTATCTTAAACTTTCAGAAAAGTTCTGTATTGCTTCAAATTTGTAAATAGGCTGGGGCCAACTTGGGTGTGGTGGATACCGTGGGTTTTACCATTTAAAGTCCCTCTTTAAAGAAAAGGAGTAAAAGAATATGAATGTAAAATTCTGAACAGATGGCGGAAGGAAGCTGTGAAGATCAGGGCCCTGAATCTTTAGCTTCATCAGCTCAATACTATACTGAGATCTGTCTACACACCAAATAAGTTCATTTGGTCATGGAAAGACCTTTTCTTTCCCAAACCCACTAATACCTCCTCGAGTGTCATCGTGCTGGGATGTGCTGCCTCAGGCTGCAGTGACTTTTAACTTGTTTCCACTCTTCACTGCTCCTTTCATCATGACCACTTCATTCCATGGCTGCTCAGTGTTTTCTTTCAACGCCAGCCACATCACCACACTGCTTCTCTCTATAGCTGAGCTTCTAGCTTGGCTAAAGGGTATCTTCCAAACTTAGACCACACACACACACACCACTTTTATGCTCATCTCTTAATCTTAGATGTACTGTGTAACATGATGCCTGTGCAACATATTACATATGTTATTATGTAACATATGTTCTATGTTCATAACATATCATTATTTCACAGATTTTACAAAGCAGGTGTTAATTTTTCTGTGCAGCATATCCCACTACGTTCTAGCTGATACCTTCTATATATATAGATAATTGTAATCAATCCACACTCAAATTATTCTTCTAGCAATTCTCTTGTCAGCACATATCCCTCACATGTTTAAATGCTGACAGTCTTTGCTTGCGGCCTCCATCACGCTATCATCCTCCACCTTTGCCGTCATTCTAGCAATTCTTCACATCTCTTTCTTCTCAAAGCTAAAGCTTCTAAAAGCTAAAATTTTACCTTTAATATAAAGCCGTTGATTGGATTTTCTTCTCTTATGTTTTAAATTCATATCATCATGGGAAATATTTTATTCTGCTTTTGATTACAGTTTATTATTTAAATTCTATTTCTTGTACTCCATTGTAAAGTCCTTGAGTGTAGAGTCAAGTTTGATTTTGACGGGGTCATTTCCAGGTAGCTTTCATGAAGCCTTTGGCAAATTTATAAGAAAGGAGGAAGTAACAGTAGCTCACAGGTTCTTATTGGATTCGAGGAGGTAATACATTAAATGAGAAGGATAAAAGTAATGTTTATTATGCTTTGTTCTGAAAGTCCACACAAAAGGGAGCTGGAGCACAAGGTAAGCCCCACAGCAATAGCAACCGTGTTATTTTATCTTAGTTCAATGCTTAGCTCAAAGAAAACACTCAGTAACCAATTATTATTATGACCACTTAACAAAAGAGCATTGAATCAAAGCTGGATGAATGGATTTGGCAGAGACGTAGATTATCTGCAATAGCCTTTGGGCCTACGGAGAGTTCCATTCATCATTCTGCTATTAGTTTTCTATTTAATCTGCTGTTTTATTTTTCTGTGTGAGTGGCTGTGACTCTGGTGATTAAAAATCACCAGATCAGGTAAATGAATTTAGTGGCTTTGGTAGTTTTAACAACCACATCAGATTAACTGCAATGCCGCTTCAGCTATGCACAAATTAGATATTAAGATAGATGAAAAGAATCCGATTGGACAAAAAAAAAA